TCATGGAGAAGAAAACCTCAGGAAGAAAATCTAACAGTAACAGACGCAGAAATATATGAGCCGTGATTGCAACTGTGCCCGAATAAGATTCTCTATATATGTTTCCAGATGTAATCGGAAGTTTAGTAGAACATAAAGAGAGAAGCAACTGGAACCTACAGCAAGTTTCAGCTCGATGTCACATCGTTGTGAGTGTCTTTCTCTGTTCTCTTTCTTGACAGATTTTACTTTCCACCTCCACTTCGTGCATACTGCCTCATCTTCCGTATCTGGTTCTTCTGGCAAAGGGACCTGCAAACAACAGAAATATTACAGTGATCGTCCATACCACATAAACCATTTTACACAGCTTATGAAATTCATTTACTTGACAATGACAAAGAAAGTAGCTTTTGTATCTCAAAAAAATAGTTAAAGCATAGAGCAACTAACATCATCACGGTCCACCAAATCAGCCAGACGACCACCACCAGCCCATATTCTATCAACTACAGAAAGTACCCTTTTGTTTATCCTCCATTTGGTACTTCCCAGAGTATCAAGAGCCTAGATACAAGAACAAATGTCTCAAGTTCCATGAGGTGAGCAAAAAAAGGAAACACGTGATATCAAGATTTAAGATTGGATAAATCATTGGCAAATGAACCTCAAAAACTGGTTGCAACTGGTTCCGGGAGGTTCTCTTTACTGCTTCACGTTGTTGTCTTGCTCCATGTGTCCGCATGACATACGAAGGCAGATAGAGGTGTCCACCCTTGTCATAACTGTAGACAGAAAACAAGACGTAGACACATTTTCTTGTAAGGAAAAACAAGATATAGATACATAAATATATACAGTATATATATGTGTGTATGCGTGGTATATGTACAAGGTGAAAGGAACAGGAAATAGAATGGAAAAACAGAGATATGAACAGACTACAAATTACTATACCCTGTCCACTTCACAGGAGGCACCAACATTGGCATGTAAGGTATCACCATGTGTCTGGCCTGCTTGCAAGACAAAATTAAACAAACCACCGAGGATTGTTCTCATAGCTAGTAGCTCAATAAAACAAGGCTAGCTGATCAACAAAAGAAGTTTTAAATAACATATATCTCCCAAAGAGGCAAAAAAATACTTACAGTTCTTTCAAGTCCTTTGAAAACCAGTTCATCACATTGGATAACACCATATCTTCTGCTCGCACTTCTGTGAGGGAATAGTCCCACAATTATCATCAATTGTTTTTTCTCAAAGATAATCATCAATTGGTAGTCACAATTAAATTTGAAAAATTTGACATGAAGAGAATGAAAAGTACTTTGTTTCTTTGGCTAAAGTTCTAGTACTATGTATAAAGGCAGGTCGAATGTCAGGTGGATCAACTGCTAACTGATCAGCAGGAGACTGTATATAAGCTGTCTGTAGGAGGAACTCAATTAAACGGCTTCCAACCTAGTAGAAGAAAAAGTACTGTCAAAGTTCAACAAATCATACATAGAAAATTTTTGAAGTTTCAACATCAACGAGGGTAAGCCCAACCTTTGCTTTAGCATCTTGGCCCCAGGGCTTTGAATCGTCTTGACTTCTCACTATCTGGTTCACTGCACGTAACTTCTGTTTTTTCATTAGACTCGTGACTTTCTTGTGTAATTTCTTTTGTTCTAGAGTGGCATGTTCTCCGTCTTCCATGTTCCTATCTTTCTCGGCTTTATGCTTCTCTGTTTTCTCTAAAAACTTGTGTATTCTAACCTGGTGCATGAGGAAGTGCATGATCAGCTCCAGGTACTATCAAATGGAAGTCTCTGTGCTTTTCAAACATTTCTCCCCACCATTTCTTGAAACTTGACACAGGGTAAACCAAAATGAGGTTTGTCACAAGATAGCCAACATAAAACCGAATAAACTCAGTTCCAACATGCTTGGAAACTATCTTGTCTAACATATAAGATGATGACAGTACAGTTCAATTTATCATTAAATTAGATCTAACACAAATATTTTTTAGTATACTTGTTAGCTAGAGAAACCACATACTGGTAAAGTTAAAGCCGGTCAAGCCATAGCTAGTTAAACTACCTTATATCACTGCAATACTTGAACATCTTGTGCAAATTGCGAGGCTAAAGTATGTCATATTGTGCAGTTAATGAGTCTATGACCAGTCTTTGTTTTCAAAAACTTGCAGTTCATTTTCTGATATTCAGACTTTAGAATCTAGTGCAAAAGCAGGTGAAGTTTCACATTCTATTTTTACCTGGAACTACATTGACAGTGTCAACAAGGCAATTTCTAGACCATAATATTCAAAGCGGTAGCACTGATTTTTTCTTTCTTCCCTATATCATCATAATTAAAAACACTAGTTGCATAGATTTAGGTTAAATGTCGAATGATTCCATTGGGCAAGCATTTGTTGTCAACTACAACTTAGCTGTTTTCATGGACAACTAATTAGAAGTGCAAAACGCTAAAAGTGTCGATGTACTAGGTCAGTAGTGCTTCCTTCACTTCTACACTTCTAGTTCTGTCAGTTCTACATGAGTATTATTGTCCAATGTCCACTTTTGATAGTTCTAAGTATTGTACAGTTGGTCTCTTAATATACTGACACACAATTTTTGTAACATTTATCTGTACAAACTTCACAAAAGTGAAAGTAATATTCTCCAGACACTCTACTGCTCCATCACAACACTTATAGAAGAGGAGCTGAATAACACAGAAGAAAATTTTAAGAGAAAGTTCATAATGCAGCAAATTTGATGCTTAAAAATAGTGTTCTCTAGATCACAAACATAAAATTCCAGGATAACCAACCTCCTGCTCAATTGCATCACCAATAGTAAGCGCAGCTTGTACCACTCTTACATTACCATGTTCACCCCCTGTCATCAACAATCCCATCAACTTATGCATAGTGATAACCGCCATCATATCCGCAGGTAACAGGTGAAAATATTTTGAATACGCTGCTTTAGACTTCCCTTGGATACATAATTCCTGCTCTTGAGCTATCTTGTCGCGCAAAGGCTCAAACCACCCCAAAAACAATGACTTTACATATGGCAAATTGGGTGCTAATTTTTGCTCACACATATCAAACAAAAGCTCCCTGTACTCCTTTGCAGCTTGTTCCCATGCCTGTGTCTCTATCTTGACTTGCCTCCTCATAAGTGCTGGATACTTCCTGCGGTCAATACCACTAGTCAACATCCTTTGCTTCCTCCGCCTAAAAGTAAACTGTTTTTTCTCTTCTTTCTTTAATTCAGTTAACAATTCTTGAACTTCACCAACCACAGACACATCTTCCTCCGCATCAGTGGAAGATACTGCAACAGCCTCAGCTACACTAGCATAGTTCTTTCTACAAATATCGTTGTTACTCACTTGACTTTTCATAGCACACAACAAGGGTCTCCTCAAGAACTCATCCCCAGGAAGAAATTCACCAAGATTCTGAAACCCCATCTCAAGAAATCCACTATTCGAACAAGAAACAGGGATAAAGGATCTTAATGTTCTTTTATCCTTGAAAACAGAATGTAGGCCGAAACCAAGATAACTATAAGCATGATTCTTAGAGGTAAGAAGAATCTTTTGCGGGGTTCTTGTAGAGAACTGTTTGACTATGTTTCGCCACATAATAGGAGAAATATGATATGGGTTTGTTTCTAAATCAGTGAATTGGTCGAATCTGATGGTTAGGGAAATAGGGGTTTTAGTGCAGGACATCAAATTGTTCAAGATTTTTTTGTAAAAGAAACAGAGTTGTACTGAAGAAACAGATATATATTATAGAAGAGAAGCAAGATGAAGGATCAAGAGATATTCATGAAACTGAATTACTGCGAAGTGTAAAGTAAACCAAGAAAAAGGGAAACTGGATATATTTGTATAAACGGAGATGCCTAACAGCAAACCGACCTTATAAACCCTCCTTAAATCTTGGGTCCGTTGTGGCTAATAGAGTCTATGCACTCTACTATATATATATACACTTTTTTGTAACTTCATTCACCTGCTTTTTTACGAGCTAGACCCGACCAAGGGACACGTGTAAGTATTCCAGAATTTTGGTTTCTCTAAATTTTAATTAAAAAAAAAAACATAATTTGGGTTTTTTAATAATGCATTTGGGAGTGAGAGTGGTATAATTCATTTTAAAAGATAATATTTTACTCCATTTATTAAATGCATACAATGTTACTTCGATTCGTAAATAAAATTATTTTAAAATTGTAATTATTTATTCTGTCTTGTGTGAAATTAAATGCATGTAAAAGTATCAGTTGAAGAAGTTATTTCAAAATTATAATCTAATTTCCAGACCTTTGAAATAAATTTTACCTTCAACTAAATCAACAAATAACTACAATTGCATAGTGTCTTTTTTTCACATAGTTTGAAAAACTTCTTTTAAAAAATTGTCAAAACAGCTGAAAAATGAGGACTTCTATTTACGAAGCCAACATAAAATTCAATCACTAGATTAGTTTTTACATTAGTTAGTCACAATTACGGCTGTGCTTTTCTGAAGTTTAACCAAAAAAAAATTACTGACAGATCAAACAAACTACAAAAACTTGATTAAAAAAAATATATAAAATCTCGAATTCACTTTCTACCGAGAAACTTTTCATCCATCTTAATTAGCAAACGATACAAATGGGGTTAAAGGTAGCTGTGATATCTTATTTATTACCCTTGTAAATCTTGAGTAGTTCTTTTCATTGGTTGGTTTATGGTACTCCATACCACAACAACATACACTTTGTAAATATTTTGTGAACTAGTCTAGTCCACCGAAGTGTGTAGAATCATAATAAAGGAGAAAGATCGATATGATAAAGAGTGTCGAAGGAGGGAAGATGACAACTATGATTACTCCAAAACCAAACTCAAACCTGGGTGGTTTCATCAGGATTAGATGCCTCATGAAGCCACAATAGAAGATTCGGTTCCCTTCCGGTAGTACAGGCAACACAACTTCAGGGTATTGAAGCATAACATTTGCAATTTGGTACAGGCACGGGAGAGGAAATGATATAAATTGCCAGTTACAATTTGAATTAAAAAGAACGACCACAAAGATCTATTGTACTTTATAGCACTGTATCTCCTATGTGTTAAAATAATAAATAGATCTCCTGTCAAATGGGCCATAAAACTTTTAAAAGAACATTTTGTAATGGGTCATATAATCACATAACCCAACGAGAGAAACCCCGCCACTTTTTCCTTGTTACTAACCCAATTCATCCAAATTGTAGGATCCCGTGTGATAACTATCATGCTAAGACCATTTTGGTTCGCCGTGGTATCTACAAACAGTGTTTGCATTGGGATGTTTAGTTGAGCTCCGGAGCACGTACATTCTTGGAAAACTGCTATCTGAAAGCAATCGTATAACTGTAAGTGTAAAGAGTTCGACAAAACATTTAGGTTTTTTCTGGTCCGTCAAAGACTTGAAATGAAAATCATTACCGTCTCCAATAAAATAAAATATAGAAGGCAAAATTAAGCATTACATTCTACAATCAACCAAAATATAGTTTTACTTTATATTCGCATCAGCTCATCATAAGGGAGATTAAACAGGTAGACATCGGATCTCCTTGAAACGCTTCCAGCAAAAGCAGTGGATGACTTACAACAAAGTAGATCCTTTCAGCCGTTTCTGCAGCTTATTGTCTAATCTCTAGATATTACTCCTGAGGTTCGAAGCTCTAAAGGTTTTATCTGGATGACTTATTTCAACAAGTATTTTGGAAATTTTTCTGATAAACAAACAGCTTTTGTGCTAACATTATACTGTACAATGTTGGAAAGAAACACATAGCAACTACAAGAACCTCAATTGAACTTAATTTTAGTGATTCTTTAGAGGTTTCAGCAGCAGGCACCAAGCTTCAGACGACACAAACATGACCTACTCGGGTATCAAATATATGGAATTGTTTCCAGAACAAAAAAAATGCAACATACGCTCGTGCATTTCAGTTACATGCAAAAGTTTCCACAGAATTCAGGACATCCATAGATTTCCTTTTGTTGATGATAAATTAATTAAGCAATCAAGAACTCAGACAGAGAGCCACAGATTACAAATAGGAGTATTTACAGTTATTTGAGATGAATAAACCTGCACAAGGACTTCAAACATTGACCAAATGGCTAACCATGTAGTACAAGGAAATAGACATTAAGACTCCAAAATGATGAAGCAAATCAATCATAAGAAAGAAGGAAAATCCCTAGTTTTAAAGGAACATATGGACAAGGTAAGAATTAAAGATGAAACCGATAAAACCAAATAAACAACTAAGTGTCCAACAGCTGAAGGTGGTAAAGACTACCCTTTTAGACTAACCTTCATCAGACATTCAGACATTTGCTCCCACTGGCTTGAAGCAATCAATATTGCACAATACGGCAGATCTCATCATGTTGCCAAAGCTGCCACCAATAACATCTATCAGTCATAACAGTTATCACATTTTATACAAGATAAGGCTATTCTGAATTAACATAGCGGCAAAAGAGACAAAAATAAATAAAGTGAAGAACTCTTAGACAGTAGTAACCTAACCGATCAATGCTTTTTCTAGCTTTCTCTTGTTGTTCTGTATTATCATTTGCCTTATCTGAGAGATCCACACTCTTGCTCGACTTCTCCTTGCGGTCTATGCTAGCTCTGGATTTTTCTCTTTGATCTGTGCTTATTCTAGGCTCTCTCTTCTCTGTGCTTAGCCTAGATTTCTCCCTCTGATCTGTGCTCGACCGGGGTCTACAATCTGTACTGCTTCGAGGTTTATCTATTTGGTTTATGCTAAGAGCAGATACATTTCTAAAACTAGTTGATTTCTCAATAGCTGATATGAACTTCTTCAGATGTATTATGTACTCTGGGAAGAGCTCCAAATCACAATGGTTACCAGTTTTAACCCACAAAGGCTCATATTTCTGCTTAGATAGCTCAAAAAGTTGTTTGCCATGGGAGCAATCAACTACATCATCTGCAGTGCCCTGGAAATCCCAGAAAAAATGCATATCAGATACCAGCTAGCATTTCTGAATCCTAGAGTTACCATTATAATATCACTAGAAAAGAATAGTTTGCTCTCTAAAGAAGGTACATCCAGAAAAAAAATACTATACTGTGCTCTAGAACAATATATCTTCGCCGTATTCGTATTTTTGTTTACAAACAGCGAATTTGTGATTGTAAAATATGACAGGTACGGAATCATCTTAAGACTTAGAAAGGCAAATTACTCTTATTACCCTGTCCTATTTTGCATCGACTTGCATAAATCTCTAGAGGAAAAGGTTTGCTGAGATATTACATTTGAGTCTTCAAAGACATCTTATAACAAAATGGCTGGAAAATGTAAAAAGGGAATAAAGATGTAGATACAATTAAACTAACAAAAAAAGGGAAGATGTAACATTCTATTTGAATGTGGTGGACTTATGCAATTTAAGGAAAAGAGGTCATATTGATGGGATAGACTAAATATAGAAAGGTCAACCAAAATAGGATGGAGGAATGAGTATCGACAACCCAACAAATGGAAAGGCTAGACCTTATGATAGAGAATTCTATTAAGAAAAGAAATAAATTATAAATATTCTAAAACTCAAAACTTATCCTAAAAGAAAAAAAAGAAGTGGTGAATATTTTCAGGGGCAGGGGTGGAGTAGACTCGTAGAGAGTCGTAAGTGGAGGCTAAATTGGAGAAATCCGAAGGCAGAATTGCCAAGAACATCAGATTTTAGTCCAACCTCTATTCTGGTTCCTCCATAAACACAATCAGGCAAAAAGGATTTTATATACCCCAATATGCATAATCCCAATGACCCCATTTCATATCCAAAGATCACAGTTAACCAGTAAATTATTTTATAATTATTGGCAACACTCTGTTTTATCACTATAGCTGTATTAGTAAATGTTGACAATTGAAAAGAGAAATGAATACTCACGTGAATAATGAGGACAGGACATTCAACCAATGGTATTTTGTCAATATTCTGCACCACAAAGAAGCAACCAATTACACAATGAACTCCAGTCCTTCAAATCAACTTCACAAACTGCTCGAAATATAAAGCTAACCTTATATATGTCAAACCAATATGTCCGCTTCACTGCATACATTACACGAAGTCCGGAGAGTATTGGGCTGTGAAGAACCACTGCCCTCAATCTTGACAACCGCGACGCCAGATCCAGTGTGGGTCCACTACCAACCGACTGTCCATATAGTATGACATCTTCCTCTTTCACCCCATATGTCTCTTCAAGACATCTATATGCAGCTTCTATGTCGGCGTAAGTATTCTGCTCACTAGGCTATAGGAAATTAAGAATATAAGAGTTTAACACTTCAAACTCAACAAACCTCAACCCTAACTGATCTTCAAAAGAAATCTTTAGTACCTTGCCGGTGGACCGCCCATACCCTGAATAGTCATATCTGCCAGAAGAAAGGAACGGGGTTCAAAATCAAAAAAAAATTCACTAGCTGTTCAAAAGGACGAGAGTAAGCGACTTTTTCTCAAATCAGGGTACTCTTTTCCTCCAAGTTCATTCAGACAATATTTATGCAACCGGATAAAAAGGGGATGAAAGGACGCAAACACAAGATCGCAATTACATAGATCTCACTCTTTGGAGGTCATAACAGTTCCAAAAAGAGCTGAAAGGATTTCCAAGAATATACATGAGCAAGGTATAAGTGTTACTTCTACAGTCCGCGTAGTCCAGATGCAAGAAATGCTTATTTCTTACCATAAAGAATCAAGCTTTACTTCTCATTTCACCAGATCTTACTGGAAAATTAATCCTAGCTTTCATCAGTGTATCATTTCAACTTCAGCTGTGCCGCAGGAAACAATTTCTCAACTAGTCTTCTCTTCATATGAAAGAAGATATAGAAAAGCATCAAGAATAATGCTCCTTTGTCCCAAACCATTTGATACCATTTTATTCACATACAACTCTTACAACTTTCAGGAAATAAAATAACTTCCAAATGTAAAACTTTGGTGGGAGTTTTTCTCACAAGGACAAACTTTTTCATCGTGCCATGTGTTAATCTGAGAGTCTAATCACATAAGATGGAACAGAGAGTATTTCAACTTCAATTATGCTGTGAGAACAGAAACTCTCAATGGGTCTATCACCTTACTACGTTTCCGATGCAAGCATTATTTTATCACTGAATCTGAAGATGCATCAACGGTATATGTTAGGTTTAAGGAAGCTTAATTGTAACAGAAATTGGCAGGAATGATTTCAATGCTAGAAATGCCCCTCGTCTTAACTGGATCACGAATAATAGAATCTATTCCTAGAATCTATTCCTACTTGGAGGTTGAGCTAGATCACCTTTGGTCGAGAAGTCAACTAACTTAGTGCATTCCACACCCCACCCCGTAGAGGGAAATTTACCAGTGAATGTGGTGAGGGTCACTGCTCTCCCTTTCACTCGAAACAAGAGTTCCGTGCCAAGCAAAAACAAAAAAAAAGTGCCAGACATATAAAAAGATCTTCTAAAATAACCCTCCTTGATGTATACACTGGATTCTACTATTGAAACAAAAAAGCCACTGTACCATTCTCATCCGACAGCAAGACATACTTTTCACCCAAAAAAAGGAAAAAGCAAAAAAACTTAAATAATTAAAGTTAAATAAAAAGTACTAGTACAAGAAGCACGAGAAAATATACCCCATCAAATTGACCCGGAGAAGGTGACTTAGTTCGACAAACAACTCGTACATCTGACCTAGATCAGCCGCGTTGCCATGCGAGTAAAGCACCGTCAGCGTCGCCGCCGGATTCCTAATATACACCGCGACAATCTCCGTTCCCTTCTTCGTCGGTAGCTTCAATACGTCAACGTTTTCCTTCGCCGCCACTTCAGTCAACTTCAATTTCCCCGTCGATTCTTCCACCACCACTCCATACGACGGCGGATTCGGCGGAAAAAACGCAAACTTTGCTGCCATGGACGATGTCACCGCTCCCATGGCTTCCGAACCAAAATCTAGAAATGAATTATTTACACACAGAGTACAAGTAACAGTAGACTATATCTCTCTATGTATAAGTGTAGGATCCCAAAATCTAGCTAGGGTTCCGAATCGAATCCGTTGATGGCGAAAAATGGCAATCAATATATTAATTATACGTATATTTCTACGGCTAAATGTAGAGATTTGGTTTGAAGAGAGAAAAAGGAAAAGGAAGAGGGATTTCCGGCGTTAAAAAGGAAGAGAGCACGTGTATAATAAACGCTGCTTACAAAATTAGGTGGTGTACGCTGCCGTTGTACGGGATGAACAATGTACTACTCATCTCTTTGATTGACACGTGTCGCCTTAGGTTTTACCGATGGTGCAGAGATGTCTGTTTTACTACTATCACAATAATTATTATTATATGCTATTTAATGCAAGATTACTACTCCATTTCAAATTATCTATACTATTACTACCTATATCAAAAATATAAATATTTATACTTTTACGTGATATATTTAAAATTACAAAAAATGAAATGATATCCGGGCTAGGGCAATTAATTCAAATACGTAAAAAAAAAAAATTAGTAAGAAAATATTAGTTGGTAATAATTGACCTGTGAAAACATGGGAATTTGGAGGATTCGAAAGAACAGTTTGAATTAGACCGTCTAAAGGCTATTGTGTCTATCCAAAAGTTTTATAATCATGTGATGTATACTTTTTTAATTTATTTATAACGAAAATGAAATGAATAATCGATGTATCGATAGATAACAACATAGCAATTATTAGGTTGAATAATCGATGTATCGATAGATAACAACATAGCAATTATTAGGGTTTTTTTTCATTTGTATATAATTATAATCATATGATATTTGCTATTTTTTAACCAGGCTAATTTTAATTGTCCATATAAAGTTAATTAAAGAAAAAGGCATTGATCATCAATAATTTATTTATAGTCCTTTTAATAATTAATGTTTTTCTATATTTATTTGTTTTTATTTAATAATCACCAAGATTTTGTTTTGTTATTAAACATACATGGATCTTTTAAGACTAAATAAATGTATTGAGAAATAAATAGATGAAAAGGTTGGGCTCAATAATGTTTATGTAGTATATCTACATTCTACAATAATGCATGCAATTAAATACAGTTTGTTTTTATTTTAAGTGACATAATTACATTTTCTGGTAAAGTAATTTAAAGTGAGTAAAGATAAACAGGGCAATAAGAACGAGTAAACGACCCTAATGGTATAAAAATAAATAATAGTAATTTTTGACAATTTGTGGATGTTTTCTTATTGACAAAAGCATTTTTAATATTTGAAACAAAATACTGTTTACCAACTTTGCAGTTAATACTCCTTTTCTTTTGTATAATTATATTAAATTTGATACTTACTAGTTGGTTAAATTAATTTGTTTGCATAAAGCTTATAATTTGCTCATCAGCGGAAAAATAATAATAAAATAATTAATTTATTCAAAAGTTGTAGTTTTATATAAAAAAATAAATTTTAAACCTTTCAAGTTTTTTATTATGAATTAATTTCGGCCTAATATCGATATCTATATGGATGTCAAGCAACTAGTTATTGAGTCGAAAAGAAGCAATAAAAATTAGGGTCTTCAAAAAGGTGAGTTCGAAATCTAAATAAACCACAAAAATATAAAAGTTATCAAAATAAGCTATTATTTTAGTATGTAACCAAAATAAGCTTAGTGGAAGAAAAAGTTTCACTTTATCTAATTTTCTAAGCGTTTTTCGTTAGTGTCATAACGTGTATTTTAATATATAACAGAACTTTTTCTTACACTTCATAAGAAAAATATTTTTCACGTTTTGAAGAAGTTTTTTCAGTATTCTCATACAATTATATGATTTGACATATCATAAAAACAAAAAAAGAGTTACATTATGTATTTTTTTTTTAATCTGAAAAATCTTTCAACCTCTATTTAAGGACGTTTAAACATAGTTGATAGCACCTACAACATAAAGTCTTCTATTTTTCTTCAAATCAATCTCAAAAAAAATATATCTTCTACGCCTAAAGTTAAAGTTTCAATTTATTAGGATGGTGAAATCTATATGGCGGAAATACCGTTTATTATAATTGTCCTCCCAAACATAATATTAAATATCCAATTAACTTTTTACAAGGCATACCGTTTAAAGTTTCAATTTTTTACAAAGTGGAAGAAAATTCCACTTTATAAAATGTAAACAAAAGTTCTACTTTATAAAGTGGTATAAAAAATTACATTTTATAAAGTGGAAGAAAAAGTTACACTTTATAAAGTGTAAGAAAAACTTTATTTTATATTAAAAATACACGTTATGACACTAACGAAAAACGTTTAGAAAATTGAATAAAATGAAACTTTTTCTTCCACTAAACTTATTTTAGTTACATACTAAAATAGTAACTTATTTTAGTTACTTTTATATTTTTTAAATTTATTTAGATTCCGGACTCCACAAAGGTTGATTTGTGACTCAGGTCTAATTGACAACTAATTAAAAGGATAATAAAAAATAACGATTTATGTAAATTATTTGAGAAAAATATCTAGCCCTTTTATCCCCTTTCTTTAAGTCTAAACTTCTCCTTTTCTTTCTAGTTATCTTCTTCAACCATCTTTATTTTACGAGTTTATTATTATTTTGCAATTTCTTTATTAATTTTATTTTTCATCGTAACTTTGAGTATAACAATCATAATATTTGAATGTTTAAATTATAAAATTAGAGTCGTTACGTATTAAAAAAAAAATAGACCCTCAACTTTTTTAAAAAAAATTGCACCGAAATACTAATAATAAATTAATAATGTAGTAGTAGTACCCAAGTTAGATTTGTTGACCTGTGAATGGACAGCTAGCGTTGTTGTGGTGTGGTCTCCACCAATAATTAGGACAAATTGTCTAATTCTCATTATTTTAAATACGCAACAAATTAATTTAATCTAGTTATTTATTAACGACAAAATAACGGACTCTACTAATTTTATCCTGTCTTTCTATTCTATATTTTTTTAAAAAAAAAAAAAGAAGTAGTATTTTTTTCATGATAATTCTGAATTGTTCAATCATTGCAGCAATTAAAATATTTTAAAACATTGTAATTACTATTAAATTGGATTTTGTTTTTACTTAAATTTTTCAATCACAAGTTTTGTTTTGTCAAAAGAGGCAAGAAGATAACCATTTGGATTCTTTGCATGTGAAGCGTGAACGTATTTTTGTCCTATTTTGATTTTTTAAATTATTTTTTAAAAGAAAACAAATTCATTATCTTCTTTTAAAAAAAACTAAAACTCAAGGTTTAGTTTTTGGGAAATTCCCAAGGCAGATTGCATGTTATCTATTTTTGGACTTTTGGTTATCAATGTTATGATTTCGTTATTTCAAAGGGAAGAAAGATAAAATTTTCTTGAGGTTTCACCTTCCATAAATGGATTATTTTTATTTGAATAAATAAAATAAAAAATTAAATGGATTATTTAGTGTATCGGATATTTGTGAATTATGATTTTTTTCCATAATTAATTAGCTTTCACAATCTTACTATTTACATAATGATATTGTTCTACAAACACCTAATTGACTTGAAAGTTTTATACCATATGTAACTCATGACACGGTGAAGCCATTTGAGATTCAAACTTCAAGATATTTTGTCAAGCCCCACCATTTGAATTTTGTAGGAAATACGCGCAAAAAGTCCTCATTTAGGACATCTAGTTGATTTGGTTTAAATTTAAGTTTTGATATTCAACAAAAATTAATGATGATGGACAAAGTTATATGTAATTTTACTGGTCAGAAACGACATATATTGCATAGATTACCAAAGTCATTTTCATCATATATGTATGTATATGTGTATATATATATATATATATATATATTAGATAACTTTAGGTTCGTCTATGTGGCGCCATCACAAATTAGAATTACCTTTTAATTTATTTATTTTCAAAACTAATATTTCTCATTTGATGGAAAGTTGTGATTTTTATGAAAAATTGCGACTTTACTAAAGATTTGTGGCTTTTATGAAATGTTATAACATTCCTGAAAGATGCAACTTTTCTAAATAGTTGTAACATTTATAATAAGACACAATAAACATTTGTTCCCTCTATCCTTTGTTGTTTATAAATAAATAAATTTTCTATCATTTTAATACAACAAAAAATTTGTCTCCATCACAATTAATTGTTTGTGTACTTAAATCCTGTTAAGCGGCTTATGTTACAGATCATGATATGTGCTTTTACAGTCATTAATTTATGCTTATGTTATCAAAGATAAATGATAATATGTAATAATTTTAATTTTTCTTTATATTATTAAAATTTGTTATTGTGTAACCTTGTATGTAAGACAATATAGTGTTTTAATTTTAATGATAGATAGATTTTAAGTATTATTTCTAAATTTTGTGAAGTTAAATTTCCACACGAAGCACGGGTAATTTTACTAATATCGTATAAAAAAGAACCTTAGGTCCGCCTACGTGTCTCACCACCACAAATTAAAATATCCTTTTAATTTATTTATTTTCAAACTAAACCTTCCTCTTTCATTAAAATTTGTGACTTTTATAAAAAGTTGTGACTTAAATGAAAATGTGTGACTTTTATGAAAAATTGTGACTTTATGAAAAGTTGTGACTATAATTAAGAAATACGACTTTTATATAAAGTTGTAACATTTCCGAATGATTGCATGTTTTTTAAATAGTTGTAACCTTTCCGATAAGGCATAATAGATATTTGTTCACATTACTCTTTGTTGTCTGTAAATACAGAGATTTTCGTTCATTTTAAAATAACAAAAATTCTGAACTTTTTCTTTTTCTTCTTCTTCACAATTAAATATTTATATATTTTGCTCCTGTTGAGTGTTCCAGTGACACCATTACTTATGTTACAAGTCATGGTATGTAATTTTTCTTACAATCCTTAACAAAAATTAAGAACTTCTTTTACTTCTTCACAATTAAATATTTGTGTACCTTGGTTATGTTGAATGACTCACTGACACTATTACTTATGTTACAAATTTTGGTATGTGTTTTTAAAGTCATTAATTTATATTTATGTTATTAAGGATCAAAATGATAAGATATAATAATTTTTTATTTTCCTTTATATTTTTGATGTTTGTTACTACATAATCTTGAATGTAATATAATACAATGTAAAAATTCTGTGATATTACATTCCTGCGCAAAATATAAGTAATTTTACTATTTTTATAAAATAAATTTAAATCACATTTATGTATATATACGAAATTCGTGTATAATGGAGAGAAAAAAACTTCTTTAAACATTTTTATCTTCTTAAAAAA